GGGAGCGAGAGGGCGGGCTCAACCCCGAGCCGGGCCGTGGGGCAGGGGCTGGGGGGCTGGCGAGGGCTGGAGCGGGGAGGGAAGGCAGCCATCTCCTGAGACGCCGCGGCTGCACCCCTCTAACTTGCGATGGTAATTGCTGTGATTTGTTTTGCCAATGTAATGCAGGCATGCCCGAGTTTAAAACATATTCACTTTCATGCAATATTTTGAACAAGAAATACCCCCTGGATTAGGCACAAGTCTGTGTTGTCTGCCAGAAAGCACTGCCAGAGTAATCACCCTCATAAAAGAGCGACACTAAAAAGCCTATTTTATAAGTTTTTATGCTCAATACTTCCCAACTTTACTAACGAAAAGAAGTGCTCATTTCTGAAAGAGGAACAGACCAATGTATTACATAAACACTGCCTCGTTATTGCCTCTGGAGCTGGCACTGTATTAATGCCGTTATTGCCATTAGATTAATCCAAGTGCAGAGCTAATGCAAATTGAGACCTAAATGCTATCTCAAAATGAGGACACAAAATGAGACAGCAACATTTTGGATGCCTTTTATCAGAAACTGCACATTATTATTTAGTTGTTAGGCATCACAGAGCCAAAAGCATCTAAAGACTATGTTTTTACAAGATAAATTGATGAGGCTTTTGGCTTTCCGTAAAAAGGAAATGAAATCCTGCACCAAGTCTTACAAAACCAACAGCGGCAGATTACACAAACCTTTAGATGTGCAAGCTGGTTTACTGAAGACAACTACTGCAACGGCATCGACAAGTGGCCAACATGGCTTCTTACAAATGGCCAACTGGTCTGTGATTATCTGATCTGGGGTTGGTTTTTTTTTTTTTACATATAAAGCAAAACCCTAGTTTTTGCTTTTGAAGATGAAGAAGAAAAAGGAAAAACGAGGAAAAAATGAACTCGTTATTTCATTCTGTCAACAAAGAACAACTATCACCAGCAAAAACTGGGATGCCAGTTACTCTGCTACTTGAACAAGCAGATTTCTTTCCTTCTTCTGGGTATAGTATCACATCCACAGTTCCCAGAACCACTGTGGACTCCTCTTCTACTGCAGTTGGGTTATCTGCCTGTGATAATCCTGGTCGCTCGAGGCATTGGTTTTGGCAGTGCTAATGAACGCTGCAAATGGCAAGCCAGCCCACGTGGCACGCTCTCCCAACAGCTGGGGAACAGCTGTCCCAATCTGACCTCTCACTGAGACACTGCATTTCAGCACGGGAAAACAATTTAATCTGCAGCAGAGATGGGATCAAGGCTGAAAATCCAGATCCAGGTTTCGCTGGACCAGAAAAAGCCTTTTCTGGGCTTGGGCTACAGCTGACAGCCTCTTGCAAAAAGCTGACTCCACCTGAATTTTGAACATGCTGAAGTGGGTGAGGGTGCCCATTATTATTGGGTAGGTAGTTATAGAATGAATATATATACGCATATATATATATGCGTGCATATATAATTATGCAGGAAATTGTACTTCATGCCCACTATGTAGATAACTACTCTAACCCTAGCATAAACTGATAGGGGGAAGAAAAAGGTCTTGCTGGGTTCTGATACAATACCGCAGAGCTGGTCAGTGGCAATTTGTTCAGTGCAAGCAGCTTTGCATCAGCTGACACAGTTCAAACCAAGCCACTTCCACACAGTGTTGTGCCTAACCCTGGGCCCCAAGCTGCACCCCCAACACGAGAAAAAAAAAAAAATAAAAAAGAAGAAAAAAAGAAAAACAACCCCCAAACCAAAAAAAAAACCAACCCCAAAACCAAAACCACCCCTTCTAACATATCAGCACAGACAGAAATGAGGCTCTGAAAGTAGGACCACTATTGCAGCGATCTAACACTGGTTAGGACTGAAGCACTGAACACGAAAAAGAGTGTGTTCGATGCCGAGGTACACACCTCTTCCTCTGAACTGTCACTCAGGTCATTGGCAAGTGAGGCACTCAAGGAGGCCGCCTTGGGCTCCAGGTAGCAGAGGCACATAGCCAGAGGAAAGGAGAGAGTGAGGGCGTATGGCACTGAGAAAGAGGCAGAGAGCAGGAAGAAAAAAATGAAGAGGAAGCAAGGCACCAGGGAGGGGGAGCGGATGGGGAGGTAGTGCTGCACGCTGGCAGGCAGGAGGTTGGTTTCGGAGAGGTTAGGGAGGGACAGGTAGCCGTCGTCATCCAGGAGGGAGGGAAATGACTCTGGAAGTTGCAAGGAGAAGGAAAACAGCGTTCCGCCTTTGCCGGCTTTTTGGGTATAGCCGAAAGCCACGTCTTGCTCGGCGGAGCAACCTCGCCCCTTTCTGTCAGAGTCCGGCTCCGACTCGCCATGCTTTGGCGCGTTCTCTTTGGGCCCCTCACAACCTAA